TCCCAGTCAGATGCATACGTGCGGAGATGCATAGAACACTGTGGCGCCGAGTCACAGATACCGTGGACATGGAAAACGCAAAAGGCGAACACACGCGCGGGGACGGCGAGGCGGTCGACTCGATCGGTCGGCGTAAATGAACGATACGGGATCGCAATGAAACTATGAAACAGGAGAGGGCCCATTGGTCACCGAGTGCGGCAGCTGCGCAGGTCCGCGACTCGTCATGATGCTACGCAACTGCGAAGGCGTGCTACGAGCCGTATCTGCGCACGGCCTGGTGACGATACGAAGCAAGTGTAATTGCGTCGTGCGTGCACCTGATGTAATTGGACGTGCGAACGTGACTACAGGCAGGCAAAGTGCATGCCAAACACGGGGACGCAGTCAAGCTGTGTGCGACGCATCTTATGCGCCGCGCGAATGGGGGCGTAGCGGGGACGCCAGCACAGTAGCAAGGCCGGGCGGGCACACGGTGCGCCGACGCAGCAGGGAAGTGAGGCGCGAGCACTGCTCGCTTTATACGGGCTGCTGCAAAGGGGTGCGTGCTACCCATGCTGTGTGGACGGCCGTGGAGAGGGGATCATTCGAAGCAGCTGCGCACGCGGGCGGTGTCGCACACCAGGCCGGGACACGGGGAGACCGGCGGCGCCGACCGCCCTCCGCGAGAGCAGCACCAGAAGACGAGCACGGACATGCACTGGGTGACTCGTTGCAGCGGGCGCAGTGCACAGAACATGCGGAGAGTGTCGAATGAACGGAAACGGCTGTGAAAAGCAGCATGGAGAGGGATGATCAGGAAGACGTCAAGCGGAAGTGGCGGGGCCCATAGATATGACTGACGCCGTGGTATATGATTGTCCGTGTCAGGATGAGAAGATGGATATGCTCGGCGCGCGGAGGAGATTGTGACTCATGTCTGCGGGTCTTTGACGTGAACTCTCGAGAACCTGTGCGAAAATTGCGCAGACGTCGGCGGCGAGGACGCAGAATATTGCGCGAATATTCGCGACGGATCTTGGGCGGGCGAGGGTAATTCCGCACTCACGGACACGGAGGACGGAAGGAGGCTGAGCCTGGCTGAGCCGGGCCGAGCCGTGCTGGGCCGCCTGTGGTGAGAAGCGCCCGTGTGTGCGGGCCCGCTGACTCGGTGTTGTGGTTTGTTTGCGTGTGGCTGTCGAAGGCATCGTTATATCCTCCCGTTGACTCTGGTGTGACTCCCCGACGCCCCCTTATAACGCTCGAACCCATTTTCGCATCCTCCTCCCGAGAAAAAATCTCATCTGCTCGTATTCTTACGCATCTCCAATCCTCAAATTTGCCCTGGTTTGTTGCTGGAAACAGCAGCAGACAAGAATCAACTCGGATAGTCCAGAGTCAGTGACTCCGGGCCATCCTCACGCCCTTTATTGTCACAATGTACTCTATGCGCAAACCTGGATACCCTACAAGCTCGCTTTCCGTCGCCGTCCTCGCCCTCGTCGCTTTCAGCTCTGATCTTTCGTCTATCATTATCACCAAGTCCACTTCTACGTCCAATGCTAATTTGACTCTCTGAACGCATTTCCTGGTCCTTTCTTGTGGTTTCAAAACACCCCGCTCGATCATCAACTGTCTGTCTACAACACCAACAATATGCATGCTGTTCCCCACTCACTCGCTCACCGCGGTCCAAGCGCCTCGCGCGCTCGATCCCGGTGGCAGCCCTATGCCACAATCGCAACTGCCTCATCCTCTCGCACGCCTTCAAATGCTTATCTTAATACTCCGGCTTCCTCGGTCGCATCGTCTACTCCTCCAAGCGTCCCCCTCCACCCGTTGTCTGAACTCGAACGTATCCGTTGTCACGTCCCCTCTCATCCGCACACAACACCTTCCATCGTCGCGTCGCTGCGCGAAGCCCAAAAAGCGCGATACGTCGGCCGCCTGATTGGTACGTCCGCGTACTTCCTTCCATTCACGCTCGCTTGCCTCGGTCGACCGCTCGGCGCCCACCGATCGTTCGTGCACGACGGCCTGGTCATGCCTGTGCCGGCCCCTTGGCAGCGCAACCTCGCAGCGTGTCTCCCGCTTCCGCTCTCTCGCCCCCGCGACCCGTCGTACTCAACGGATTTCCCTCCCAGATCAAGCGGTCCAGTCGCTCTGCGACATATGGCACTCCGATGACATACCGCCTGCCTTTTCGGGCGCGCGCGGCTTTGGCGCGGATGCGCGCGACGTATCACATCCCCCGCATTCGTCAACGACGCTCTTCTGCACTCGGAACCTCCAGCTCCCCTCCCCGCCCCCCTCCCCGGCCCACGAACTGTCGCCGACTTTCCCTGCCTCGGATGCGCGCGAAGCGCATTGCCCCCGAGGCACGGCGTCGTGCGGCAACGTCCTCCCCATCAAAGGTTTCGTCCACGAAGTCCTTCGACGATCGCGCACCTCGACCGGCGTCCTCCAAACCGCGCTCTGCTATCTCGAAGCGGTGCGCATGAAGGTTCCCGAGCTCCTCAACAGAGAGAAGCAACAGGAAAGCTGCACCGACGTCGGCGGCGGAAACTCGGCGACCCCCCAGATCGTCCAAGCCTGTCCGAGCGCATGCGCAGAAGACCCCGCGTGTGCGTACTCTGGGGCTGCAGCCTTCTCCGAGGATCCCCGCGATGCAATGGACACTGTTCGGGTCTCCGACACAGGGCTTGAAATCGCGTCCAACGCGCAAGCTGCTGCTGCCGGGGGTCAGAACGGTTTTGCCACACACTCCGCCACACATTCCGCCAAGCCGCCCCTCCCCCCTCTCCCGCGCCAGCCCTCGCCGCTCTGCTGCCCCCGCCGCACCTTCCTCGCCTGCTTGATCCTCGCGTCCAAGTTCATGCAAGATCGCTCTTACTCGAACCGCGCCTGGGCGAAGCTCGCAGGACTCCCGCCACGGGAGATCGGCCGCTGCGAACGCGCAGTCGGCGAAGCCCTAGGGTGGAGGCTGTGGGTCGGGAAAGACGTCGGGCTCGGAAGCCCGGTCGCAGCGGGAGCCCCAGGAAGCAGCGGACGCATCGTATCCAGGTCGAGAAGCGACGGCGACCTTTTGAAGGACGCTGTGCCGGCTGCGACTGCGGATTGGCTGGGTCCGGCCACGTACACTGCGCCGCCCGCGCCGCTTCCTACCCCGAGCCTCTCGCCGTGCAGCCACCTGGCTGCGGCTGCGAACACGTCACTCCCGCTGCTGGCGCATGCAGGCACCGGGCTGCGCCGCTGGGCGACCGTCCCGGACGTCCGGACGGACCACGCAGACGTGTTCCGCACGCTCGAGGCGTTCGGCGCGCCCTTCCTCGCGGACGAGCCCGCGCCGCTGCCGCCGTACATGCAGCCCGACGGGTACTTCTACGCCGCCGCGCCCGCGCAAGACTCGGCCCACGGCGCGATGCAGGACGTGTCGCCGCCCGTCGCGACGCCGACGCTCACGTACTCGCCGATGTCCTCCGCGTCGTCCTCGTCGGACGGCCCCGGGGACCGCACGATCCAGATGACGACGTTCACCGACTCGCCCGCGCCGTACGCCCCGCCGCACGCGGGGCCCGGCGCGCCGTGGGATGCCGCCGGCTGCGCCGGGAGGGAGGAGCTGAAGGGGTGCGGGATGCCGCTGCAACTCTCCGGGATGGCCGTGGAGGCATACGACGTCGCTGGGATCGCAAACCTCGCGTTGTATGGCCTGTCGTACTGTCCCGTGCGCGGGCGCACGCTCGCCGAAGAGTGCTAGATGCGGTGCCCGTGGTCTTGTGTAACTGCCGATGTGTATTTATGGGACTCGTTCAGACCTCCCTGTTCACCGTGTTGCGACAGGGTGGGGAGGGGGGCCGGTCTGAATGGAAACACGGGGAGATATACGTTCCTGTTTCGCTATACCTCGTCCACTGTCTGCGATGCCTCTCTGTCTTGTCTCTCCTCTCTCTCTTTCACTTTCTCACTTTGTCTTATTTCGGCTCGGGTGCGAACCGTCCGCTTTGTGTCTTACTTGTACCTGTACCTGTACATAGACGTTGCCTCTGGTTCTATGCGACTATGCTGCAAGATGTCGGCGCGGGCGCTGGCCGGGAGGCGGGCACCACCCACTGCGTTTTCGGGGCGGCGCGGGCCGCCGCCATGTACTCGCATTCGACGAGCTCGACGCTCAGATCGCCCCGGACGACGAGTCGACGGGTCAGCGGCGATGGCGGTGGCGACGGCGGGACGCCCGACCCAATCTGGGACGCACATCCTCCGGTGTTCGCGGTGAGCATGCCACTGCTGCCTGCATCTGTCGACGCCCCCCTTCCCTCCGCGCTTCTATCTCTCTGACACGGCATGCTACTAGCACGCATAAAGCAGCGCGGCGAACCACCTATCCGGCCGCGCACGGGGCTGGTATCAGAAGCATGGGACGACGATGTCGCCATCTCTTCTCAGCACATCGCTCAACTGGGGGCCATATTTCAAAGGCCCCGCACAGCTAGCATTCAGTCGCAGGACTCGCGGCGGTGCGTGCGGGCCCGAAGGCGTGTTTGTATGCATCGCGCATCGATCTCGTCGAGATTCCACCTCATGCGCCCCATACGTCGGTGCTGCTCGTTGCTGACACCATCTTCCGAATAGAAAGGAATAATGCAGAGCGTTTTGCCAATTGGACGCCTGACGCAATGCGGGCGCAGTATACCACTTCGCGCTTCGCGCGCACGAGCGGTGAGTGGAAACCATCCGCAGCTGACATCCCGGGCATGGGTTCAGCTGCGCAGTTGGGCCGTGGCAAACGCGTGTGCGGCCGTTGTCTGCACTTCGCTTTCACAGTCATCTTCTTTTACAGGTCTGCGGCGCGTTGCTGGGAGACGTGGAAGCATGGTTCGAGGATTACAAGGTCGTCAACCTCATTTTGATCATCGTGTGCCACAAAGGCTGGACAAAGGAGTGTCTCCGCTCTCGGAAGGTCCATAATAGGACAGACTGAAGACCTGCTCGCTATAGAGCTCTTTAACCGAATTCGCCTCAAGGTCCTTGTCGATTAGTGGTTAGATCATTACGTTGTGGTAACACAATTCCGTGAAGACCTGGGCTCGACTCCCAGCAGGGACACCACTTTTTGCTTTTTGACTGTACGACTATCATGTGCTCGGCCTCCTGGGGCCTTCAATTGCTCCAGATCCTCCACGAGCTGTCTAAAAGTCACATAAATTGTAGCGGTCTTTCTGAGCTTGAGTTCTCTCAGTTCAGCGCCCCGTAAAAAATAACGCAAAAGCCTTTGCAGAGGGTGCGTAACATCTGCGCCTGAACATAAGGTCGAAGTGGTACAGTAATACTGATGCCCGTTGTAGACTCCTCTCACTGGGAAGAGGGGAGTAAGATATGCAACTGACCCCTTCGCAGCACACTCTGCCGTACCTGACAATCATCGCAAAGCACTTCAGCAGGTCGGTACTTATGGAGCTATCTCCACGGCGATGATCCGATCCCGACTCACTTCAGCTGGCTCCGAGCCGAAGTGAACGGCATGAGAAAGATCTGCGCATTCTCTCGGGACGGACCTAGCGACCCGCATCGGAGCAAGTGCGTGTATGCAAGTGGGGTTGCGCACGCCCGTTTGGGCACTCTCAGCGCATTCTCTCAATGGGGTGCATCCGCTTCATAGACAAATTGCGAGTCCTGTATTTCCAACATCAAGACTCGCTGGTATTGCGTAAATGAGGAGGTGTAGAGTGTTTGCGGGACGTTGGTGCTGAGATCTTGTCCGGCACGAGCGCACAGTGCGATCCAAATATCTTCTGGCACATCACTTCGCGGGATCTTGTTTGATGATATCATTCAACATCATGATTCGTATGATATATGGTACTATGATTGTATCAGACGGCAGTTCTCACCATCCACAGAGAATCAACATACTCATACATGCTTCGTGACTTCTTCTGATCCCCGGGTATAATCACTCGTTGAAGAACTCGAGAGGCGTATCGGCATTCTGAATAGCACGCCATGTCGTGGGGTGCCCATCGGCATCACGGTTGCCCTCATCGGTGAACAATGAGTGGAATGTCACGTCTTCCACGCCCTAGGGGTTCATATATCAGACAAACAATACGTAGAGGAGTAGTCACAATGATACACACCCTGTTCGGAGGATCATGAATCCTAAGCAACTGCGGTGAGCATGACGATGACGACAAGAGAACGACGGTGACTCACCGAACATGCACAAATCCTTCGCCCTCCTCGTCACTGATCGCAGGCAGCCTGATCTTTCCGAGGATGATAGTTCCGTACGATGTCGGCGCGCTCCTACACAACACCAGGTCCCTGGAGATGTCAAACCTGACCAACTCCGCGTCCGAGATCCCAGCGGCGCGCGACCACATCTTGGGCTCGTGTAGGTTCCAGTGGTGCCGCGACTTCAGGATCTCGGACTTGATGTGGTGCTCGACGACCCGGAAGGCCTCGATGGCCTTCGGAGGCGGCGAGTGAGGTGCATTGAGAGTGATCTCTTCGGCGGAGGCTGTCGCAATTGGATTTAGCGGTGAGATTCAAGACAATGTTCCATACTCTCTCGCTTAGGCACTTACCCATGATGCTATCGCAAGTCGAAACAAACCTCGGAGGTAGTGGTTATGGTAAAGAAATGTCCAAGATTGCGATGCGTCATGGTGCTACGAGGCTGTTGGATCATTGGCGGCAGTGCCAGGCCCGGACAATGCACGGGCCGGTGCCGAGACTTTCCAAATCTGGAACATCTCCGAGACCTACTTGCAACGGAACTAGTACTTGCCTCCCTACTTTTGCAATGTGTCTTCAGATGCTGCTGCTCGGGACCGACCATCAGATGTGTTCTACTAGCTTTGACATTGCTCACGACCAGCTGATGCTGTAGCACCGAAAAGGAACACTTGTCATGCGCCACCATGATGGTATTTTCTAACTTCCGTTTCGGACGTGCACCTTGGCTCTATATGTTCAAATTTCATGCCAGCTTCATGCCTCAGCGATGCCTCTACACGTCAACTCGCAGACTAACATACATGAGGATACTAGATTCGTTGGTACCTCGTTTCCCTAGGCGCGATCTCTTGCAGCCGGCCGAGGTGTCTCGTCTCGGCTTATCCGTGCACCCTTGTTCTGTCACCTCTCATGTGCGGCACGAACGACCCTGGGACAGAATCGTCACGGTCTCGCTCGTGTTGGATGTTTGGTAGATAAAATAGTCATGCAATGACATGCCCTAAATATAGGTGCTCCTCTGGGTTGATACCGACGACATTGTTCGTACCTCTCTACCTTCGGACCGCCGGGCGCACTAAAAATACGGTTTCGTTTGATGCGCCGCTTTTGACATGGTGTGTAGCATCGCTCTGTAGAATTTGTGGCACATTCACCATGAAGCACGAAAGCGGTGCGCGTCAGGTACGGCAGCCAAGACGTACCACTTGGGCTCCTATTCTGGGGCCGAAGAATCGCGCAGAAGCTCTGATGAAAGCCTCTTCTCACTTCTTCACGTCTTCGCTGAGCCTTCACTTCTGTGCCGGCGAGAATCCGTCCCAGAATTTGGGAATAAAGGCCATCCGGACGATGTTTGCCCTGATTTGCGCATGCGGGCGTCTGGGCTCCTTTTTCGGCCCTCCATGACACCTGGTAACCAAACTCGATTGTCCCACGAAAATGCTGCCCTCGCTGACCTCACCGTCCTGCGCCTGCTCTGTTTCTAACCACTCTATGTCAGCTTCCCCAGCATCGAACGACTATGTTTCCCCGTACCTCGTTCAGCGACACCGCGTCGGACGATCGCAGCAGTGGGTCAACTTCGGAAGCGAGCACGTCCTCCAAGATGCGGCGCCCCCCTTCGCCTACGAAGTCGCGATCAGATGCATCTTTAGGTGTGGACCCATCGCAGCTCATCGGCAAGGTGCTCCGGCGCGTACGCCGCTCTCGCGCGCACCCAAACGTGACCCTCTACTTCGCCGACGACACTGCATTCCAGATCCGGGTCGCGGGGTATGACCCGCAGCACCGCGGCATCCCGAAGGAAATCGAGACGGATCATGCGCTTGAACCGATTTTCAACCATCCCTCGGGCGAGTGCAACGTCGCGCTCACCGTCGCAAACGCCGCTATCATTACGCTAGCGGACAAGGCGTTCGCACTCGGCGAGCGTGAGAGCCGCTGGGATCAGCAACATGCAGGAGTGGCATTGAAGTTCCGCGAGGACGGCCGGTGGCATTGTGTATGGGCGACATTGCAGGAGTACGAGGATGTGGACAAGAGGGACTGTATTTTCCGCAGTTACCATGATGTGTACCTCGACGCACTCGATCGCCCTCCCAGGCGGCAAAAATCTCGACCGCGTAGAGTTTGACAGCCAAGGAGACGCGGAGCCGGCAACAGAAGCGGTACTAGGTGGGCCGAAGCTTGACCTCTCGGCCGCCTCATGGACAACTCATTCGTCCACCTGCACAGTGGACGGAACCTTCTCCAATTATCCGTGTAAAGGTTTGAGCGACCATTCTTGTCAGCAACGGACTTGTCAGTTCCTGTATTTGGTAGACGTATGGACACGAGGATTGTCAGCGATGATACTGTGATGTACATCAGTATAAAATATACGAACCAGCGAATGCAGTGTACCGGCCTTGTATGGGTGACCGCAACCGAGATCTGTAAGGTCATCTTGGTAATCGACCACGAGATTCTTGATGCAGTGCTATCGAATTAAGTAATAGCAAGCCGACGTCGCGGCACGGCGGGTTCGGGGAGCCTTGTGCCGTCCCATCGGAGACATAATGCTGCGACGCCAAACGGAACAGTACTACGTCCGCAGTTTTCCAGGCGTCCTCGGACAGACAGATCCTGTACTGGATCCCGAAAAATTTGCCCACTTGTCGACAACACGTCGAGCCAAGGCACCATGATTTGCATAGGGCCAAGCTTGTCAGGCCGCGAAGCTGCACCCAGCGGGAAGTAGACACCAGCGCAACCTCGAATCATCAGGACTGGCCTGGGATATCGTAAACGGGAGTGAAAATAGACACCAGCGGGCGGGAGAACCAGGCTATCCTGACGAAGAGAACCCAGAGAAGCTGATTAAGGCATATCCATGCTGTTCGGAGCCAGCTGACTGATGGCAGGTTGAAGAAGTTCCAGTCAGTCGTGGTGACGAGAAGGCTATATATCGATCTTCTTTCCTTTTTTGCATAAGGACGGGCCCCCGTCCTCTTCAAAAAGTAGATATCAGCGACGTAGCCTCCCGCTAATTGTGATTTACCGAGTATCTTTCGTTGAAAACCATTTGTAAGTGTCATTGCTCTCGACAATCCCAGAAAAATGTACCATATTGGGGCCTTCTCTAACTGCGGTGCAGTGCGATCATCGCGTCCACAGCCGATTTGCGAGAGTGGGTCGTATCGTCGATTTAGAGACGCAACTCGAGTAGCGTACTGTTGTGGTGTTCCTTCGCGGGATGTATAGGATATGCTGGAGAGCTTCAATAATTTGTCACGACCGCATGAGGCGTGGTGCCAGACCACTACCGGCGTTGCGTAAGGTCCGGAGACCGTGGAATGGTGTGAAGTGGCCTCATACATCTCGAGAGGTCATGCAATTGGCTTTCTGATGAAGTCAGGGGATATTTGGGACATGTTGCGTTGCAAAAACACACCAGACTCTTTTGAGAACAACGTTAGCCGCTAGTTGGGAGTCTAAGACTATTGAATGTAGGAGGCGTCAAATCACTTCATCAATGAACCTGACCGTAGGATGCCCCAGCATCTACACGTTCGGTAGAGACATACCATCTTCGTGGAGGACGCTGACCACTGAGCTGACAACCGCAGTTGCGCCATGACGTCCAGTCGGCGCGTTCTTTCCGGTGACAGAGCGTTATCGCAGCGCGCAAAGTATTCCCTGTAACGAGATACAGGGGTGCCAGAGAGCAAAGATGCCGCAGGTACACATCTAACCCCATATAGGCCCTGGCACGCACGGCAAGAGCCACGAGTCTGGAGGACGGGCGCACCAAGCAGACCTTCCATCAAAACATTTGACAAGGGCGTAGATAGGTTGATTGTGCGCTTGCCAGGGGAACATCAAATGTC